AGGCCCTCGCCCTCTCCGATGCCCTGTGGTCTGGCTTTCTCCGCACAAATGACTCTCTGAGACTACCGCTGTGTCACCTTCACACCTGGCCCCCCTTTTCCCATAACTCTCTTCCCCTATGGTTTACTGTTTTTATTTACGTATTTATTTTTCATCGTGGTACAAAGCAAATACCGTACCATTTACCCTCTTAACCACTTTTAAGCTCAGTAGTGTCAACGATATTCACGTTGCTGTGTAACAACATCTCTAGGGCGTTTTCGTCTTGCAGCCCCCTTCCCTGCAGCCCTGGCAGCCACCATTCCACTCGCTACGAGTCTGACCACTCCAGGGGCTTCAGGGGGAACTGTACAGCGTCTGGCCTTCCGCGACTGGCTTTTTCCACTCACCATAGTATCCTCCAGGGTCACCGTGGCGTAGCCCGGGCCCAGGATGCGTTCCCTCCTCTCTGGGGGCTGACGCGTGCTCCGCCAGGGGCGCTGGCCTCCATGTCCTCACCTGCTCATCTGTGGGCGGACGCCCGGTTGGCTGCACCTCTTGGCTGTTGTGAACTCGATGCACAAGGGTCCCCTCCTGATCCCGCCTGCCGTGTCTTCGTTGCTGGCCTTACGTGGCTTCTCTAGGGGTTTCTCTCTCCCCTGCTGACTCCTCTTCCTCCGCTGCCCAGTGCACTCTTACCCCGGGCCTGGCTTCCACTCTTCCAAGGACCCGCAAGCCTTCTCCCGCGGCTCCCCTGCCGGCCTGGAGACCTGGGGGGCTGTGGGGCCTCGGGCAGGACACGCCTCCGGGGCAGCACCTGCTGTGAGTGCAGAAGCCTCCCCTGTCTGCCCCCCCCCCACCCCCCCAGCTCCTCACCTGTCAGAAAGAAGGTCCACAGCCTGCAGCGTGGGGCGCTACGCTCGGGCGACCGAGGCCTCGGGGGTGCTTACCGTTTGTGAGAGCACAGCCTTGGTCAGTCTCACCCGATGTGACCTCTCTGCAGACTTCGGCGACAATTCCTTCCTGCGACACCTGTCCTTTGGTCTCCGGCTGCGGTGCCCTCGTGCTCACCTGCCTCCCCGTCTGCCTCTGCATCTCGTTCCCGTGAGCTCTGTTCTCTCCCTCTGACGGTTCCCTCGGACAGGGACAGGGGTTCCCCGAGAGGTTCCCTCGGACAGGGGTTCCCTCCCTCTGAGGTCTCCAGGCCTGCTGCTTCCACTCCCGC